ATTTATTTATAGAGCGCTCCTTTTTAAGCACAACTATTTTATTCGTTTCGAACGCAAACCAATAGAAATTCAAGATGGCTGTCGTGCCTAAAATTCTACGTAGAGCGCTTTTTTTCTCGAAAATAATTGGGTGGTGACTATCTTTACTGACCGACCGACCTTACTGACCAAATTTGATTGGTGTAACCATGGGATAGACCAATCAAATTTGGTCAGTTAAGTCAGTCGGTCAGTAAAAATAGTCACCACCAATAATTGGTATGTGGACTGAGGCTAAATGACTCATCCCTTCTATAACAGATTATGCACTTTGAATATGTGTCAGGTAAAATGAAATTCATTGGGTGAATCTATGAAATTAAATAAAGTTTTTAATCATAAAAGTTTTGGCGCTTTGGGTTTTTCTGAAAAGTAGTAGTTTTCGAGATAAATAAATTTTGCCGAAACGGCGGCGCTACTGTAAAGTGTAAAACGCATTTATTTTGAAAACTGCTGCTTTCCAGAAAAAACCAAAAACGCCAAAACTTTTCTAATTAAAAACTTTATTTAATTTAATAGATTCACCCAATGAATGTCATTTTACCTAACATATATGCATCCGCTAATGATTGCATTTTTTAATCGTACAACAATCCGTCAGTCCCCACACTAAATGTAATATAAAGAAGTAAAACTTCTTACATGATTATTGAAAAGAAGTCATACTGATAATTCTTCCACCAAATACGACAGAAACAGACTCGAGCACGCATTATAAACCTGAGTCTGAAGCCAAATGGCTTTAATTAAGTGTTTACCTTCTCGCAATGTTGTTAAAAAATGAGACTTTTTTAATATAATCGACGTGTGTACTCTGCTTGTCTATACACAGTCTGGAGGGTGTTTCATAAAAGTTCTTAAGTGCTCGACTTACTAACTCTAAACTTAGAAATGAAGAATCTTTAAATACTAAAAAATGCGATTTTATCAAATATTTTAGACAATATCCAATTAAACGTGTCCAGCTTGCAACCGACCGCAGCAACATTCATTTGCGAGAGGAGAGATTTTCATTACCGGTCATACTGGCGACTAGTGCAAATGCCTCAACGACGACAGCTGCATCTACAAATGAAAAAGAGAAGCGCCTTTACTACCTAAGGTTAGACGGTAATCTCTCTAGGGCTTATGAATCATCTGAAGTCCAGAGCACTGACAAAACTGTTGCCGATGTTGTCGAAGAAGCTGCTAATGAGATTGTCGTTGAAGGTGCGAAACTCAGTAAAGAAAAAGAAGCACAATGGCTAGCTAAACAATTACGTGAGGCGAAACATTTTGGAGAATCTAAAAAAGCGGATTTATTTGATGAAAACATTTCAAGACAAATTGGTGAAACCTGTATTTATCTTTATACAATAGAATCTTTCTGGTATAGTATTCTTAATTCTGCTCTTCGTAATTATGAAACAATAACTCTAGAACAAATAACGACACTGGGACCATTCTCTTGGTTACTGGATAGGTATCTATATGAGAAAAGCAGTGAAATTAAATTATCCGCTTATCGCGGCCTTCCACTCACTGATGAACAATGAAAAGAATTTATGGAAAAAACAATTAGACTCACGTCGTTCACATCAACCACTAGAAATCGAGAAAAAGCTGAACAGTTTGGTAACACACTATTAATATTTGATTTAGATGTGGATAATCGTGGTACACACGCGCGATGTGGCGTAGATGTATCATCTCTCTCTGGTTTAACTGATGAAGAAGAGTATATTATGTATCCTGGCTCAAAGTTTAATTTTGTTCGTTATGAATATGACAAGGATACAAAAAAACATTTTATTTATCTCAAAGCAACAGAATGGCAGCGATGAATAAAATATTTCTAACAGACTTCTAATTACTTCAGACTAGCGCCTCTTTAGTTTGCATTTAACTTTATTCTATTTTTCAAAATTAGATCTGCTTACACCCGTCAAAAACATTTTCCTTTTGAGTAAAGGTTAGATACAAAAGTTCTTGATATTTTGCCTTCTAATTGTTCACTAAAAAGAACTATCTACCAGTAATTCTCAAATTTGAAATAAAAATAAATTTTTCTAGAGTACCATACAAAATTAAAACTTTAACGTTTGTTTCAAGAATTTTTGTCCCAGCCTCAGAATTTCTCAAAAATTAGATTGTTTGTTCTTATAATATTTCTGTTTTACTTAGATTCATCTCCACATAGAACCACAGCGAGAGAAAGAGAGAGAGAGCTGTCTCACGGATATGTCTCATTTCAATGGCGTGTTTTCAAAATTTCAGATTTAGCCTCTCTTTCATTACTTAAGAGACGATCTGGGAGCCCATCGAGCATTTCTGGGTGAATCCATGGGAAACGTACCATGATTTGGAAAAGTGTTTTTTTAGTACTTTTTTTTTGTGCAATGCGTAGCACCGAACTTAACAATTTTTTTCGTCACCCCAGTTTTGATTGTAGAATCTGAAAATCAAATAAAAGTCATATGTCAAATTTTTGTATGTTACGCACTTTCTCGATGGGTTGGCGAATCCTGTCTTAAGATAAAAATCTGTTATAACGGCTTGTCCAAAGGAAATGCTGTGATATTTTTGACACAGTACTTTGCATTTTTTTCGAGAACTGTAGCAGCTAGAAAGTTCGTTCTGGTGTCATTCGATATAGCTCACGAAACTCTACTTATGATATGGAAATGAAGATTTTCGGTTCAAGACTAGAGCGTACAGAAAGATTTTTCGCCGAGTAATACTATGACAGAAAAGGTCCCTACCTTTTAAGAACTGATACAGCTCTGATTTCTTGCGAATTGAGCTGTGCATCTGAAAATTTTCTAGATGCTAGTTTGTAGAAGAGCTAACCAGCTTTCTTTTGTAAAAATAACTTTTTTCCAAACCCTCCCGCACGCGTAGAAAAGTCGATTTTGTAAAGTAACACTGTCACACACTTTTTTTGTCACACCATTTTTAGGCACTAAACGTTGTTCAAAAAAGCCTCTTACTTATAGCCTGCGCAGGTCTAGGTTTCCCAAAAAGCCTCCAGTTGAAAATAAAGTTCGAAAAAATTGTCTGAGGCTTTCACGCAGAAGTTGAAACGTTCAAGCAGTCACTGTGTATCGACTGAAACATGGATCTCAAAAATCTACAAAATGGCTCATTTTGTAGAGAGTTGAATTCTCTATTCAATGGTATGTTGTCAAAATTTTTTTAACAAAATGCCTAGGTCAGAAAATTGAAATTAAAATTGAAACGAATTACTACTATTACAACGGGATAAGAATTTAAAAGAGAACGGCTTTCCACTTTTCGGAGAACAGTTGGCGTTTTTTAGAGAATGGACCTTTTTTATAGCTGAAATGAGAACGGCTAACATTGTCTGGAGATCGCGAGTATCTTCCACAATCATATTATACTCATCACGTATTGTAGGTTTAGGTCTAACTCCTCTGTAGTTATTGTAATTTATACTACATGATGTATTTTTAATTTCGTGAAAAAAAATGTGTTTACCGTAAATACCTCCAAGTAAATTACAATAGCATAGTTAAACATCAAGTCCAACTGCACTGTGAGCGGCCATATTGGGAGAACACTGCCTATAGTCCTCCCCGTTTATCTGCGAGTAGCTCGGTCTCTTAACTTGCGTACCGCTGCATGTAGAGGTCATACATTTAGAATTAGTGAAACACCCCTTACTGATGTGTAAATATGTTATAGCGAAGAAAAAAATGACTGTTCTACAATACAAAATTTAACGAAATCAACATGAAAATACTCATTTCAGTGGTGTTAGTTTTCACACTAATCTACAATTCAAATTCAGATCAAAATTATCAGAGATTAGCTATAAGCCTATTAAATTTCGTTGATCTATCAAATAGTTCATCAGTATGGTCACCAACAAGTATTGGTCTAGCATTGAGCATGTGTATAGCAGGTGCCAAAATAAATACTCTCGATCAATTGCTTTTTGCTCTCGATGCTACAACAATCGGCCAATTGAACACTGAATCTAAGACGATCATTAGTAATATGGTTGGAAAGCTCTCAGAAAGCCAAGTGATTGTAGCCGATTGTCTATATGTTCAAAATAAATATCAACTCTATCAGAATTATAAACATGATCTAAATACGTTCTCCAACGCCACTATTGTTTCAATAGATTTTTCTATGCAAAATGTGCTTCCAATACGATTAATAAATGGGTTTCACAAGAAACAAAAAATTTGATCAAAAACATTATTTCACCTAATGATGTTAACCCGTTCACTCGTCTAGTTCTTATCAACTTTCTTTACATTATAGCTGAATGGCTCATACCATTTAAAAAAGATTCAACAGATACAAAACCAGTTCAAACAATCAACACAAATACTGCCAATGTTCAGATGATCCATATTATCAGTCAGCCTTTTTCCTATATAAATGCAACTGATAGTATTAAGGCACAAATTGTTGAAATTCCATTCAATACTACAAAAAAACAATAAAAATCTTCAGCTTGTATTCACTGTTATTCTACCAAATGAAGATGTCACATTGGCAACTGTTCAGAAACAATTCAGTTCAAATATATTGAAAAGTGTTTTAAACTCTGTTAAAGAAACATTTATTGAATTATCATCACCAAAAGCTAGAACTCAATCAACATTTCATCTGAACCACTTTAAATTATTAGGTTACTATTATTATTAGGTTATTATTAGGTTAACTTATGATGTCGATGAAAATGGGGTGACGGCGTCAACTGTAACTGCAGTTAGTATTAGTACAACATTTATATCTATTGGAAAAATAGTGTCCAATTATAATCGACCATTTTTATATTTAATCCTAGAAAAAACCAGTGGACTCATCATTTTTTGTTGGAACTTATTATGGAAAAGAACCTGTTTTCATTATTAACCAAACATCTCTTAAAAAAAATTTTTGAAGGCACAATACCATCGTACCTTTTTTCGATAATCTAGCAATATTAGGAACAAAGATTTTGAATTGTCTCCAAATGAAATATGACCAATATGTGTAGCAACTGAGAGATTCGAAGAATATAACTGAAAGTTTCCAGTTGTGTAATCAATATGATCATATATTCCATGAGGCAGCAAAAAAGAGAATTATGTTTATGTGCTATTTAGGTAGAGTAACCACTTTAAGTTAGATGGAATACGCAATGAATCCTACCGGAGTTAAAAATATGGAAGTATCAAAAAGCTGAATAGTAGGTTCGATAGACAATTTTATTTCGCATCTAACCATATATCATTTTTGGTTTCAAACTATGACTGTTTCCCAACAAAATAACTTTTTAAAAGATTTGACCATTTACTGATATGAGATAAATAACGTTTATCAACTCAGTAAGGAAGTGTAATGAAGATATTGTTTATACTGGATTTTGTAGAGTGGAAAACATGCAATAAACTGACGATAAAAACAAATTAAAAGAACAGGACTGTTGTTTGAGAAAAAAATATTTTTCGAGCAAAATTTGAAATTTTCATTTTTCATACGCTTCACTAAAACTTTGATAGCAGGTCAAAGAAATCCAGTATCACTCCTAAACTTTGTCCAAAATTGCCTGATACTTAACTCTATCTAGCAACACAATTTGAGTCTTCAAACTTTCTTAGTGACATAGCACGATAGAAAAAGAAGCAGCATGTAGTTTTAAAGCTGGTTTAATGGCGT